CGGAGGGAACTTCTGAAATCGGAGTCGACAGCGCATATCAGACGCCGGGTGAAACTTGGCACGTCTTTGATAAGTTAAGCTGCATGATAAATGGATTGCAGGAGTAGTTAAAATGAAAATCCATTTCACGTTGACAAATATAGCTGTCGGCTCTCTGAAACTTGTGTTTATGACAAGTCCACATTGTTGTGCTTCAATTCCAGGGTTTCTGAGGAAATATACTGCGCATCAACCACTCTTGAGCCAACAAAACACAAAATAGTCGCTATTAATTGCTTTTTAATAATTCCATTTGATCTTTTCTTGAGCAACTAGAATGGATTCCGCCCTTGAAAGGTCTTATTTCCCTTAGAGCGACAGCATTATGTACCCGCATAGGCATAAGAGCCTGCCCGGTTTCAGTGGATAGAATCATAGTTCAAAGCACTTAACCGTTGCCACATTTTCGAAACGACAATGCCAACGTTCGAAAGAGACAGACAAACGTAATGGAATCCTATACATACGATACCATGATCCAAACACGATTGATCGAAAAGTTGCATCCTTCCGGAGGACGTAGGTGTTTGGTTTACATAATAAGGTTCTTTTACAGAAATACTTCCTTGAATACTAAGCTTTTCATACGAAATTCATTTATATTTGTTGGACTTGAAAATCAGCTAGTGTCAAATAAAATGACTGTAAGACAACTAATCAGAATTTAGGCTAAAACTGTTTTGAGCATATTTGTTTGCGCTGGTCATGCGGGTGCATTTAGCCTCAAAAGCGTGTCAAAACCAAAATTGTACCAACAACCAAAACCGTGCAGTAATGCGATGGAGACTGATGAATACTCACCAAGCAAAACATGATTTACCATTATTTAGTTCGTTCATTAAGCTAGCAATAGATGGATGTTGAATAGCCATTCCTTATACTTGCCTTGTAATTTCGAAAAACTTCTGCATCAATATGTCTACATATAGGCTGGACTTGGAGGATAGATACAAAGATGTTGGGCTTGAGCTATACGTATGTTTTGATTATCCTTGCAAGACATGTATGCACGCATATGGTCGTGTATGGTCAAAACTAGCCGCTAGTTATTAATTATGAAGCAGGCAACATTTCGTAGGTCACGACCATCTATCAAGCAATGTTACCCAACCAATGTTTGGCGCATGGACAGCGGATATCCATTTTTGTATGTGTTGTGTCGTAATCACACCCTGCTTAAGGCCACTGGCACCAAAATAGAGGCCGTTTGCATACATGGCTCACACAATAGGCCAGCGGGAAGACGACCATGCAAACAATGTGTGACGCGGCTGGAGCCTCTTCTGTGCTGGCCAAAATGGCCCATTATTGCTCCAAAGGTCGCGCGGCGGCGCCGAGGTGGCGTCAGGTCGCGGCGGTGGCCGGACCGAACAGGTACTATCGACCCCGACAGCGCCGTCCGGCGTTCGTGCGTGCTCAGAGACCCGCGGCACGTGCCGGCACTGCTTTCCGGCGCCCCACCCCGTGCCACGGGGCCAAGACACGTGCGGAACGTCCGGCTTCAATGGACACGGACGTCCCTCTAAAACGTGCATGGTGCGCCGGGGCAAAAAGGCCACTGAAGTTAGGTAATTTCGTGTAATAGTTCACAAAGTTTAGTCCGCAGGGTGCGACGGGGCACGGAAATCTGGCGACCGGCTCATCAAAGAGCAAGGATCTACCAGACGACTTTCCTGCCAGATCTTCCCCAGTGGGGAGCTAGCAATTTCCGTCCAGCGGCTCAGACTTGTGGTGTCTCATCAATTATTAATTTAAGCGACAAACACCAGTATGTCTGCCTGTCATAAATGACTTAGTCACCGTCGACGCACAACAACCAACGTTTTATTACTGTACGCTTATCGCACTTGCAAGCGGTAAGTCACTTTATTTGGCCGAGGATTACCACAGGGGACCCTTTGCAAAACATCGTATAGGGCGGTGACATAACGGTATCAGTCAGCCTTATGCCTGCGCGCCTTTGTCTAGCCGTTCTAACGGCCAGACGAACGCCTTCAGGTGGCCAGTGTCTGGTTTGAGTGACGGTCGTCTGTAGTACCGTCTGGTTCGAGTGACGTCGTCCTAAAGATGTGTCTGGTTCGAGTGACTCCTGTAGTAGTGCCTGGTTCGAGTGTCGGTCGTTCTGTAGTAGTACCTGGTTCGAGTGACGGTCGTTCTGTTGCAGTATCTCGTTTGAATGACGGTCGTTCTGTAGTAGTGTCTGCATCGAGTGACGGTCGTTCTGTAGTAGTGTCTGGTTCGAGTGACGGTTGTTCAGTAGTAGTGTCTAGTCCCGGTGACGGTCGTTCTGTAGCAGTATCTGGTTCGAGTGTCGCTCGTCCTGTAGTAGTGTCTGACTCGAATGACGGTCGTTCTGTTGTAGTGTCTAGTTCGAGTGTCGCTCGTCCTGTAGTAGTGTCTGACTCGAATGACGGTCATTCTGTAGTAGTGTCTGGTTCTAGTGACGGTCGTTCTGTAGAAGTGCCTGGTTCGAGTGACGGTCGTTCTGTAGCAGTATCTGATTTGAATGACGGTCGTCCTGTAGTAGTGTCTGGTTCGAGTGTCGTTCGTCCTGCAGTAGTGCCTGGTTCGAGTGTCGTTCGTCCTATAGTGGTGTCTGACTCGAATGACGGTCGTTCTGTTGTAGTGTCTAGATCGAGTGACGGTCGTCCTGTAGTAGTGCCTGGTTCGAGTGACGGTCGTTCTTCAGTAGTGCCTGGTTCGAGTGACGGTCGTCCTGTAGTAGTGCCTGGTTCGAGTGACGGTCGTTCTGTAGCAGTGTCTGGTTCAAGTGACGGTCGTCCTGTGGTAGTTCCTGGTTCAAGTGACGGTCGTTCTGTAGTAGCGTCTGGTTCGAGTGACAGTCGTTCTGTAGTAGTGCCTGGTTCGAGTGACGGTCGTCCTGTAGTAGTTTCTAGTTCTAGTTACGGTCGTTCTGTAGCAGTCGCCGGTCGCCCGTCACGCCCCACCACGCCCACCTCTCTCGGAAAGGAGCACGTGTCACACGGGCGATGTCGATCCACGCGTGACAGGCCTCCCCGACCCGGAAGATTGTCCGTGCTCGAGGCGGTCCAACGATCGCGTGAGAGCCACGGTCACAGCGGTGCCCGCCTTCCTTCAGACACATATTGGACACAATCGGAAATGGTGCAGGTCAGATCATCGTGATCGACGTTCAGCTCTGGGGAGGGGAGGGGGGAATCGAGGATCGCCTGTTGGGCTGCAGCGCCGATACACGGTGGTGGGGGTCCGGGGGGGTCGCCGTGCCAGGCACGCCGCTCGCCGTCGGGGGGACACGGGGCTGTGCGTCTCGTCCATCAGTGCCGCCGCGGCCGACGCGCGCCGGCCGAGCTGTTTGCCACCCAGATCGTTTACACGCGAGCGCTCTGAAATGGATCACCTCGAAAGGCAGCCGATAATGGTATGAGCCACGGAGCGTCAACATTGGTCGGGTGAGATAGAGGCTGGAAGCCACCGGGCCGGGGAGGGGGAGGGGGGACAGAGAGCCGCGCGGTGCTGGCCAGGGCGAACAGAGCCGGACGGATGCCAGTTGGAGATTAATCACCGGCTGAAAACAATGGAATTGAAGCCACCAGTGTGGCGGTGGAACTAATGAGAGCGATTTAATTTTAATGGCGGTGGGTAAACAGAGTGATAGACGACCCGCAGAGAACGCACGCCATTCCAGGGGAAACGCACTGCTATGGTGTCCGGAGGCAGGGATGAGGTGCAACGAATGTCGATATTCTGAAACATGCATCCAACATACATGGAAAATATCTTGCTTGATGCAAGGCCCCAGTCAAATTAAACTGGGAATTGCTAATAGCCTCATCAAAGACCAGAATATTATTGCTATCAACAAAGGGTTTATTCCATTTCATACCCTACCTTAACAGTAATTCTATGGCGTTGAATGTTGATTCATGGCACTTCTATTTCGCAGACTATGTATGAATTTAACTGACCCGAATATTGAGCTCTAATATAGTTCTAGCAAATTACGAGCAAGATGATTAAGCATTCTAATGTGTGCCATGGTCAAAAAAAATATGATATGCATTAGGCATGGGCATCAATTTTTGAATAGTGGAGACTACATAATGCATATACCACAGCGTTTTATTCAATGTCCCAAGCCTACGTTATGGGGTCAGCAAAAAAGAAAGGCTTTACCCAGACTTAAAAAAGTCATGCACCTTGCATAGTTTGATGAATCGTTTTGATAGTTACATTGCATTAAGAACAATGCATTTGGGTGTATTCTCCCTATAAAAGACATAGAACAATGATCAGCCTAATTCAAACGGTTCAGCACCAAAGGAAGAGATACGTACTAGCATTCAATAAGTTGGCATATGAATGTGCTTCTGCTGACTTGCAGGACAACGCCGTGGTTGAATATCTGTGAATCACTGTGTAGAACAAGTAAAAAAAATGATCTATAATTGAATATTGTTTTCTTTGATTAAGTCCATCAAGAATCATCTAGGACATCGCCTATAACTAATTATCTGAAATACCAATTTTATGCCAAAGGTAGAATGGCAAATTACCTAATATTCCCACACTGGCATAAGTTTCTCCCTTACCAGAGAGCATGATCCGAGTTCTGGAAGTGTTCCACTCCTACGTGAGCGGTTACTGTCGCGTGGTTACGGTAGTTTGGTTGACAAATGTTCTGCCAGTTGACTAATACAGGGACCGATGCGCGCCGCATCCTAATGTACGCATCGTGACGCATACCATCACATTAACAACTGAGAGCACAAATTTATTCCCTGGGACCTGATGTATGTCAGGCATGTGAAACCTTCTTTATGCTTCTTTTATCATAATGATATTCAGAGGTAAACATGGAAAGCAGCGTTATGCGAGTCAGTTTGAAAGTCGACAAGTTTGCGTGAGGTTTGTCTGTTACTCCCGATGAAAGACTGTCGTGAGCTTTGCTAGACGGGTGATTCGTCTACAGCACCACTCACCGCACTGCAGGAGGCTCCATGTGACGACCAGGACCCCAAGAGCCATGGAGGCTGGCCGGGGGAGCCGGTGCTCCCTCCCCATTCCGGGGTGCTCCCTTCCTGCACCGTTCACCGGAGCGGAAGCACCTCCGGTCCCTCACTCCGTTCGCAGCACCACTCACACTGACACACACCTCGGCATGACGTCACTCTGGAACGCCATGAGCCTAGGTCAAGGTCACCGAGGTCACTGTCCTAGAGATCAAGGTCATCGAAAATCATGGTCAACCGTGATCACGGTCGTCCAAGTCAAGAGCACCGGTCACTCAAAGTCACAGTAATCGCTATCACCGTTTGCTCTTGTGGCTCCGTTTATCACAATTGCCGTCTCACGCACACTGTCTATCATAAGCCCTCCCGGTATATGTAGGTGCAGCACTGTCTGTCGCGCGGAGCGTACTGACGACCTCGGGGCGGGTGCCTGCGCTACTGGCGGGACCCGACTGGCCGCCGCCGCCGCCGCCGCCGCCGCCGCCCACCGGCCGCGCGGCGCGCCATCGAATCGATGTTCTCCACGCGGAGACGGCGGCGAGCGGCGCGGCGACAAAATCGGCTCTGATGAGGGTGTCCGCTGTCCGCAGTCCCCAGAGTATCCTTTGTCCGCCGGTACTGAGCAGTCAGGCTCCCCGCGCCGAGCCGCGGGTGTCCTAATGACCTGTTCCGCGCCCCCAGAGACAGACGACCAGCGCCGTGGCCGGCCAGAGGTCTCTGAGGGCCCCGTTAGCAGCCTCCGAGACGCCAGGGGCGGCAGACAGACAGCTTAGGACCCCGATGCCCGCGCCATCTCACCGGTCATTCTCCCCAGTTGGCTGTCAGTGGCCGGAACCACTCGCGTCGGCTCGTTTATAGGGTAGGATAGCCCCTACAAAACGATACCGCCGGAGTGATAACGACGGGATGTAGTCTGGATTGAGGATATGTAAGGTTCCACTTATTTTAAGATCGCATCTTTTAATTGGTGAGGGTGGGTGGGAAACTTCTCGCTCACTCTACGACCCTTTCGCCGCCCGTCGCCGTCGACGACTGCCGTTCGTGCCACTCCAGTCGACAGCCCGGCGGTCCCGCGGCCCGCGCCCTCCCAGACACCCCTCCGAGGGCTGCCCTGCGTCTGTCGATGGGGCGATTAGCCACGGTCACGTTCGGTGGCGCCCTGGCAGGGTCCTAACCTTCCATAGCCGCGTCGCCGCTATGAGTTGATTAGGACCCCGATGCCCGCGCCATCTCACCGGTCATTCTCCCCAGTTGGCTGTCAGTGGCCGGAACCACTCGCGTCGGCTCGTTTATAGGGTAGGATAGCCCCTACAAAACGCCAAATGCACCAAATGGAATTTAGGGTGGCCGGATATTATTGCTAGCGCGCTCTGCCCATCGAGCGCGAACCGGTCAACATGCTTCTGCGATGGTGGTGTAGTGGCCTCGAAAGCTATTTTGATTGATACGGTCGTTTACCGATCCCCCGGAGGGCTGTGAGAGGTCCAACGTCAAGCGTCCACGTGCGGGTTGTTGACTAGCACCTGGTGGGTTAACTACGAATCCGGGCAGATGCAGAAAGGTCCCCAAGTGTGCCGCTGCCTGTGCCCGATTTATAGACTGCAGTCGCTCCTGAGGTGATTATTGGGCCGGACCGATATTGCGCGGGTGAACCGGGGCGGTATGCGTCCCTCCGCCCAAGGTCGGCTCCCGTCTTGAGCTCGCTGTGGCTGGACCCCATCGCCTCGCACAGTGTCGCCAGTGAATCACTGTCGACCGGCGTGGGGCACCCCGACCCGATGATGGAGCGTGCCCGTGTCCCGGGTGTTCGCTCATCGTCTGCCTCGCTCGGCCGCCGCCAGCGTGTGACCGGAGGGGGAGCAGGGCCGCGCGGCGGCGACTGGGGTCGGGTTGAGGCGGGCGGCGCCGCCCTGCCGCTCTCGCCTTGGGGCCGGCTGTAGCGGTCCCGCTACAGGCTTCGGTGGCCCCCGGGGACGGTCCTGGCTGGAGGGCCCGAGCTGTCCCGGCGGTGACATTCGCCGCCGGTCCCGGCTGCCGGCTCTCGCGGTGTCGATGCCTGTCCCCGCTGCCGGGCGGCCGGCGCGCGGGTGACCTTGGCGGGCCGGCTGGGTGTCCCGTTTCCCCGGCGGTGTGTCCGCTAATACCCCCGGCGTGCGTGCCGCCGTGCCCGGTCAAGAGGCGGTTGGTGGGGCCGGGCCGAGTAGCCGAGGCGTCGCCGGCGGCGAACCGGTATATACGACATGCATATACGACATGCATATCCGACATGCAATACGACATTTATATCTGTACATGTGGTATTGCGGCGTGGCCGGGGCGTCGGCAGCCGACGGGCGTATATGCCGTGTTGCGGATTACCCTAGGCGTCTGCAGCGCAGTGTGTCGAGTTCCAGAGGAGCCGAGGCGTCGGCGATGGACCCGGTTTACATGTCTATACTGAGTTACAGAGTAGCCGGGGCTTCGACGGCGGACCAGGGCCCAATCTTACCAAATGCCGTGAATGTGCATTCACGGCATTTGGTAACATTCAGAACTGTTACACATTCACTTATTCATTCGTTCAAGCAACATTCATAATCATTCCCGCTATCAAAATCATCGGACAAAATTAGCTGGGCATAAATAAAAGGGATGCCTATCTTTGATATGAGAGCCGTAAAATCCGGCCAGCGCTGACAAATTCCTAACCTTCCGTATTGTCGCCACTCGCTGCAGCACGATATCGGACCCCTGTCGGCGTGTCCTTGCCGTCGGATCGCGTCACGTCCGCCGCCGAGAGTGGCTCAGGTCAACCGTGACGGCGGCCGAATCTGCTGACATTGGGACAGGACGACAGACGACCCACGTCGGATGCGACGCAATCGACGAGGAGCGGCCCGACCGGCCGACGTCTGTCCGAGCGGGAACGGAGGCAGGAGCAAGGACGTGGTGTGTGCGGGGCGGAGAAAAGAAGGAATGGTAGACATTGCAATGACAAGGAATGGTTGAAAAGAGACGGTAAACATTAGATAGTAGGATGGAGACAGGTGTAGCATATATGTAACGGGAACAAGTTTAGCAAGGTCACGGAGTAGGGGCAGGTAGAACATTGACACAATTGAGACTGATAAATGAGTAAGGACACGGAATGGAAATTTCCGAGGCAGGAACAAACTTGAGGAACAACGACATGGAATGGAAGCTTGTGGGAGCATTACAACTAATTAGGATCGAGAGAGCTAAAACAACAATACGTTGCGCAGAAAGGACTTAAGTAAAAAAAAAAAAACTAGTCAATTTGCATAAAAGCGATGTCCCATGGTTCAAAAAGATCAAAAATGAATATCTACCAAATCTTACCGAAAAATTTTCACTGGTTCTCCAGATATTGGAATTTTACTTTTGTTTACTTTTTGGGACCTCCGCTGTTCCTATACGACGTCATTTGGGAGCAATAGTTTGGCATCCCTAAAAGTGCGGCAGATGATGCGCACAAAGCAATATATGCCACCACGTTTTAACGATGGTTTTAGTATAAGATTTAAAAATCGTTGAATCTCCGCTGACGTCACAAATTCTAAGGGGGCATTCAAATGCATTAGCCCCCTAGGATATGAAAACTGCAAGTTTGAAATTAAGTATCTCCGAATTAGAACAATTATCGATATTGTAAGTGCCCAAACCCGTAATTGCAAGCCAGGGACCCCAATTTGGCTATCTCAGCTCAACACTATGTAATGTGGTGGGATGGTCACTTCAACTGAGCATAACGTCAGATCGGATGACTGGCAGAGGTTTCGCGATGTTAATTAAGCCTTGCCGCCTTTAAATGTGCACACAACGTCCAGTGCAAGCATGATGCTCGTACATAGGAAAGCTGATAACTGGACGCCGATATGCACCTGAGAAAGCGTTAAAAGATGTCATATTTTTCACATGATATTCAACTGATAGCTAAAGAAAGACTTAATGATAAATGGTTGTTTTTGATAAAATGATGGACATCTTTTAGAAAAATGTCAAATGGTTATTCATGTGATTCTGATTTTCTTACATATTTTTCTCGCCTTATAAACAATTGGGATTTGTGCGACATAGATCACTGCCGAGTTCTAGCCGCCTTAACCGAGCTGCTTTATCAAAATCGAGCCAAAATAAGAAGCCCTCGATCAGTTTCGCTGCACTTGGCGCTGGCTTGCTACGATGTAGCTGATCTTATCCTGTAGTCTGCCTCTGAACGAGTGGCTCTGAAAGGGATGGCATCAAAGGCCATTACTGAAATCCCATCAACACTGCTAACCTTGGCAATTTTAGACATGAAGCAATCTTCGAGCGGGAGACATTTCGGCCCGCCGCCAATGCACCATCCAACTGAAAGGTATGAGCCAATTTCAGGGAATGGGCGCGGGCGCCTCTAAAACGCTACATGACCCCTCAAGGGCAGCTAAAGAAAGGGTCACACAGTATCAAATGAGTGTGGCATTTGAACGTTATTAAGGAGAAGTGTATAAAATAGCTTTCAAGACACTTTAGTTTATCAGTGAGTTATACAAGACCTATACGCAAATCATTGCGCAATTGCATGTTTCTCCTTTGCAAATGTTGGCAAATTCGCTCATGATTCGCGGCGAGATATGAGATATAAATGTCGTTTTACACGTACAGTTCTTCACTGAGTGTAGACAATATTGTTGCTGCTCTGTATCTCACAACTTCTTGGAAAAATTAGGACTGCATAAAATTTCTTAACTTTTTATTTTACCCACAAAAAGAATTAGATTTGAAAGGCTTATAACATGATGAATTTTAACTGATTGTAAAAAATTATGATCTAAACAAAACACGACAATGAAACATTTGCCATAAACTGGAAATTTATCCAGGTAAAAATATTTCAGCCGCGTCACGGCGATTAATGTTTCAGGTGCACGCGAGGCTGGATAATTGTTATATTGATGGGCTTGTTGATTGCCCTTCAAAGTTAACAAGTCATTTACTACAGGTAGAAATCAATCAATCAAAGGCAGTGAGGAAAAGCCTTTTAACATCTTAAAGCGTGCCTCCTTTTGTAGTTAATTCACGCGCACATATGCTCTCAGCCTGGATCCTTTGCACAGACGGTTCTGCGAAGCATCTCTCTTTCTGTGTACTCGTAACTGTAACTATTTGTGTGACTCTCTCTCTCTCTCTCTCTCTCTCTCTCTCTCTCTCTCTCTCTCTCTCTCTCTCTCTCTCTCTCTCTCTCTCTCTCTCGCGATCTCGGATGACGCCTCACTATTCAGCGTCTTGTCCAGCGTTCTCGGATGTCTGAGCTATCCGGTGTCAGCACTCGGTCTTGGCCCGTCGCCGGGTCGTCAGATGACACGCTCGTCATCTGCTCCGATCATGCCGCTCCGAGAAACGTGTCCGAGCTGAGCCGAATGTGACCGGCCCTCGTCTGGCACGTGACAAGGGCAGCAGGGGCATTCCACGATAGATCGACCAAAGCTGTACACCCTCATATTTTATTTTTTGCTTAAAATTGGTCTAATGGGTTGTGATGGGCGGGGAAGCCAGCTTTGCCAAGGATTTTTTTCTTCGAACAACGGTTTCCGAGATATAGCCTCAGGTAATTCCTGGAGGTCACGCTGCAACCCTATGTTTGGCGGCTTAT